CGACGTATGTCTGTTAAAAACCAAAAGTTCTGTCAGTGTTTTAATTTCAGATGGTAATGCATTCCACAAATGTATTCCTCTTACTGAAAACAATCAAATGTTGTCCTGCTATACAGTTTCCACTTACTGTGCCTCTAGTTCTGATTTCCCTATTTTGTTTTTCTGCCAGTATTTCTGGCACGAGATTGTTGACACACTTTGTAGATTGTAGAAATTAAAAATTTTCAAAATTGTCAAAACTCAATATATTATGCGTCTGTAGAATGAGGCAGTGGTGCCATCTTACAGATTTGTGATCCATTACCTTTAATGACCTCTATCCATCCATCGTCAACCGCTTATCCTGCGTACAGGGTCGCGGGGGGCTGGAGCCAATCCCAGCTGACATTGGGCGAAAGGCGGGGTACACCCCGGACAGGTCACCAGTCCATCGCAGGGCCACACAGTCCATCAACCAGGGCCACACATAGACAAACAACCACTCACACTCACTCACTCCCAATTTTGGGGACACCAACTAACCTAGCCCGCATGTCTTTGGATGGTGGGAGGAAGCTGGAACACCCGAAGAGAAACCACGCGGACACGGGGAGAGCACTCCAGCACAGAAAGGCAGGGGCAACCGGGGTTTGAACCCACGACCTTCTTGCTTTAATGACCTAATGGGTGTAATTGTTACTATACAATGCAATAAAAGAGAAAATATCATGGTGTGCATTAACTGCTGTGCTGCCTCAAGGGCCATACAGTGTCTCTGGAAGCAGTTTAAGTTTGTCTTGACTATTCTGCACAATCTCTTTACATGTCTGTCAAACATCTCGCTCTGTTTCTGTCTCTGATATTTGTAGATTTCAATCAACCTTTTAATTGACCCTTTATGCAACTAGTCTGCCAACTTAAACAACAAATTAGATTTTCGAGCTGCTACTGGCTTCTCTACTGCAAGAGGTTGCTTTTTCAAATGTAGGTAACTTCAAGTGTATGTATAAACCACGGCTAACTTTTTTTTCCTGATAAGAATTGTCCTCTTTTGTTATGTGGAGGAATCCATTTAGCTAAGCTTCTCTCCCATACCAAGTCTGACAGAATACCTTTAAACCAATTTACTACTTTACAATAGTTTTTCTTCCATTTCTGCTCAAATTGATTTGTTAGCAGAATCTCTTTTCTGTTGGCAGCCATATTTGCTCAAAATCAATGTAACACCAAAAATGATTACATTGAAAAGAAAACTTGTCTGCTGTTTTTGAGTTTTCCTCAACACCATCTTTGCGCACATCTTTGAGCTATCGGCTGAGAATAGATGAATTTAGAAATCAGTTAAAAGCATATTTGCATCACCTAAGCATAAGCCATCCTAGTTCCAAATGGAAAGGAAGAAAAGAAATACAGGGGGAAGAAATTGAATAAAATTCTATTGTATTCTGTTTGACAGTAAAGTTGAACTGAAATTTGCAGCAGACATTTTAGTGGAAAAAACATCAAACCTCCGGGTGGACGTTTCCCAGAAAGTGGAGGTGTGTCGTCCTCTTACCTTAGCATTCCACACATACTCCAACCATAACGAGTTACCTACTACAAAAAATGTAGTAGGTGCTCAAATCACAAATGGGACTAAGCAAAGGCTAATAACATCAGTCTCCAACGGGTTAACTGCTTGTGGCGCCACTGGAATATTTTATCTAAAGAGTTTGTACTCACTCACACAGATAAGACAATATTAAACAGAAATGTTACCATTTGATGTATTGTACCATAGTTAGTTTGAAGGGTACTTTATGTGTTTGGAAACCTGGGCCCTATTTTTAAATATTTCGGGGTCGAAATGACAAGTCGACACAAAAACATTTGGAATCCGTGCAGTAGATGGCTTCAGTTCTTCTGTTGATCTACAGTCTCCTGGAAGGTCACAATTAAAACATACACACAGTGACAGAACAGCGGTAAACAAACAGAACACATAATACAGCATAATACAAAGTTACACACACACACACACACACACACACACACACACACACATGTCAGCAACAAGTATGTTAGACAAATTAAAAGTAATGATATTTGTATAAAAAACAATCTTTTTGGTTGTTACAGGTTTTTAGATTTTAGACTTCAATACCTTTTTTGACACTACAAAGGCATCGAATGCCCCAACAATATTCTTCTTATATCCTTAAAGCACAGATAATCTCCTCTATCTGTTCAGATATTTGCTGGGTGTTGAAAACATTGGCAAAAAACCCCAAACAATTTTAAATTGTTTTCTTTTTTCATTAAAAATTTTCCTAGAATGTGTCTAGTATCACTTACATGCCAAATGATGACATTTCAGACTGAGCGCCAAGCAGAAAGAGAGGGTTTAAAGGGTTAATATAGGCCTTTGTTTTGCGTGTTATTCTAAACATGTATTTCAATGCAACATCACATTTAAATGGTGGTAGGGCCTTTCAAGTGAGGGAGACAAAGTTTAATTCCCTTTCTGCTTCAGAGCCAGTGGACCAGATTTTAGGTTTGCCAGTACATTGGGCAGATATTGCCATTTTCTAAAAAGTCTAAAATTGATCTATGGGACAGCACCCCATTCCTATTTTACCTTTATTGGATGGTTAACAGAAGAGAACCAGAGGAAGAGAGAGAAAGATGACATGGGGCAAAAGTTTTCTTCTGAACTGAAACTTCTTAAGCAGAAATGATCCTGAACGCAACATTTTAATGAAGTTCTTGTCATCCACATCCAAGTTAATAAGCTAGCAAAGCTACTGAAGCAACCCTCCCCTCTTCTCCAGATCTCAGAACAGCCAAAACTTCTTCTTCTTTCCAGTCTTTCTCTCAGTGATTTAGACTTTTGTGGATGGATTATCAAGTAACTGCAAAGCACAAGGAGGGGATTGAGGAGGAGAACAGATCAAGTGGTTTACTCTAATGAGCCCTGTCAGCAGTATTCTGCCTACAAACAAATAGGGTTGACAGATGACACAGTGGCAGCACTCGTCTCTCCGGCGAACCACCTGTCGGCGCCGGTTGGACTCTAGGAAATGCGTTGCTCTGTCGAGAAAGCTTACCGCCGCCTCTTGCCTCTCTCCATCAGTCTGTCTGTCTTCTCTCTCCTCTTCTTCTTCTTTTTCTTCTTCTTCTCTAAAACACAGGCTTTCACTTTTTAGGGCATCATGAAAAAGTCATTAGTCATTGTTTTCTCCGATGTCTCTCTTCCCACACATACATTGTCACTTGCCTTCTCTCTGCTGCTGCTCAGGAAATTATGAATTATGCGTGTCTCACTCTCTACAGGGGCTGCAACTGGGAAGCACCAACCATAAAGCTGCTGTTTTGTTGATTCCTCTTCTTAAATGTGGCCTTTCTTTCTCCAGGCCCGTCAATCACGATTTAAACTACGCTGGTCAACAAATACACTGCAGTGCACCATCCTGAGACGAGTCACCTAATTTGTACCAGCGTTTGCCAACTTGTCAGCCGTGTTTGGTGTGACAAAAAGGAAGAATCCCATTTTTCTGTTGTCATTTATAGCCGCCACAGTGGAGACCGCCCGCCACCAAATGTTCTCCATTTCTTAATTTTAAGGTGAAAGCCAGCATGAATCCATTGGCATAGCCCTGCTGTCATTCACTCGCGTTTAATTGGTATTCATTCGGAAGTCTGCTCAGCGCTTCGCAAGCTGTGCAGCCGCAGTATGAGGCTGTTAGACTTTAGTAAGAGCATGTCAGATTAAAGTGTTATTTATCAGAGTGTGGTGCACAAGAGCCAGAAGAGTCAGGGGTTGAAGGGTTTGGTTATTGGTCTTTTGCAATCCCCAGCACATTGCTTTTAATCCAGCTGTGGGTTTAAGGCCTGCAGGCTGCGGAAGGCTCTGTGGAGCAGAGAGAAAACACATGTGACAGGCCCTAAACCTATGATTCAGATTAAAACCGGGAGCTGTATATCCATCTGAAGCTATATGATAGGGTGACGAACATTTCCAACTGGGGGCTTGCAGCTTGATGCCTTAGAGGATTTTCAAATAGAGTGTTTTTTTCTTCTTCTTTAGTGCATTAAATAGAATAAGAGCATTATTCACAAGCCTTTTGTATTACATAATATGGTTTATTGTCCTTGTGTCGCTTGCACAGCGAGCCTACATATGCTATTTGAAGTGGTTAAGTGTAGTCCAAATTATTAATGCTAATTCTGCGACAGCTGATTTAGCTTTCCTCTTGTTAGCAGCATTGAGAGCTCAAAACATACACTGGAGGCCCCCGGGGGACTGTGTTTCTGCCAATTTCCTTAGTGATGCTCTCAGAGCTCAGCAGAGTGGGGGAGAATGCACTGATTTAGGAAGTGTGTCAGCCTTTCCTAAGAACTTACGCAGAACTAATCCTGTAAAGCCCATCGCTCACTGACGCAAGCCATATCGAGGTATTGATTAAGGATTCTATTTATGCAGGGCTTTCCTCTTTCAGTTTTCACCATTAACAGTAGTTCTGCACGTGCTTAAAACAATGGCCTTAATCCAGCCTGTAATCTGACCCAAGTGAACCCGACTGGTACAACCAAAATTGAAACCCCCAATGACTGAGGAATGGTAACACTGCTCTACCACTTTAACCAAAACCGTAATATCTACTTATAAGTCAGTCACAGCCTGACCAACGTGGCATGTCAACTCAGTCTTTCTCAACTGAATTTAATGGTTCCAAAACAGTGTAATCGGAACAGAACTATGTATGGCATTGCAATTTGTACATGCTGTCACAACAATGTCATTCAAGCTAATCAAGCTAATGCGATGTATTTGGACCAAGCCTGACCCTGACAGAGCTAACCAAATCCGAACCCGATCCGAATCTTTACATAACAAAACAAAACGGCCCAAACCCAGCATCCTAAAGTATCACGTTCCAGATTGGGTGTGGGCTGTTTTAGTAGGAGATTCTAACTACAGACATCTTACATGTTTTGTGTGTATAGTTTTTAACTATAGTCTATCCCCTCTGTTGTCCCAGGGCTGAGGGTGCGTGAGGTGATGATCAACGTGTCCCGTCAGCAGGTGGAGGATTTCCACGGCCCAGAGGACTACTGGTGTCTCTGTGTGGCCTGGAGCCACCTGGGCACTTCCAAGAGTCGCAAGGCTACTGTCCGCATCGCCTGTGAGTATGGAAACACCTCAGTGATCAGTACCTAGCCGCTGTGTCACAATGCTCCGTGTAGCCAGTTTGGCGATATGTAAAACTAGTACCTGAGACATATGTGTACTCATTTATCTGTGGTGCTAATTAAATATATTAACACCAAGACAGATATGATAAATTTGCTAGATACAGTAGGCTTAGGTTGTTTTCACATTGAACTTACAGACCAACTGAAATTAAATGGCATGTTTTTTTTCTGCTACGATATGCACATCTGCTCTATAAATGTCCTGTTAATGTCTTGTTTAGCATAAAGCATAATTTTTAATATCAAACACCGGCTTACCCACTTAGCAGGTCAGAGAGAAAAGGTGCGTGTCTGATTCATACCCATCCTTTCAACAATACACATGTTAAAATAGAATGAAATCATTTTGACGTGATTATGGACTGTAAAAAGGGATGACTCTGTGTTTGTTCTTTTTTTACAGTTCATTTATAGGCAGGTGAGAATTTCCATTCAACCCCTCACAAAATGTTACAGGGGTTATTAGACAATGAATTAAATAAATAGACAAATCCACCTGATTACTGCTTGTATCCAGCTGTTCCTTGTGACCACCAGAGCAGAAGATAAATATTAAAAATAGATAGATAAAAGAAGATAAAAGCAAATAAAAAACAAAACCTTCAAATTCTACTGTACAATTACTATTACTTTAAACCCACTAACAAACTGTATACACCTTTTTTTAAATTTCTTTGGTCTGGACCAAACTGTATAAACACAGCAAGGTGACATAATCTTCAAGGAAAGACTTATCAGTGGTGAAATAATCAATTCTCAGAAACTAACGCTGTCAAATAAAGTTTAGACACAACCAGCTATTCATACCAAGTGTTGTCCAAACCCAGTAGACCTATGGCTGCCAGACAGTGTTATATCTAAAAGCCCTCCTCTGTTGAATGTAGTGTTTTTACTTGATTATTTATATCGAGAAAGCTGACAGAAATCACTTACCTTTAAACTTCAAGAAAGCAAAGGAGTCTTTCCTAGTCCTTTGAAGAGAGGAAAAATGTGAGTTCAAAGATGATGTGATGTCAAAGTCTTTATCTACTAGGATTTGCACATCATTGTGTTTGCACTTACTTTGCACTTACCTACTTGTCAGCTGAACTGGGGTTCTGAGGCACTGTTATAGAGTTTCCTTCCTGGTTTTACATCCCTTATATGCAGGGATCTCTCGCGATCCTAGGGTACATGGAACCCATTTATAGACCATGTTGAAATTTCAAAGGCACATTCCTACTTTTCAAAAAGGCTGACATTTAAAGGTTTTCAGTGGATAGCAGCAGCACAATAGCCTATCAAAGGCAGATATTGTAGAATAGGATCCATCACGACTGTATGCACATAAAAGGGGAGGATGATCAGAGCAACCTTTGTGCACTTCCTCCATCTAGTGTATCCTCCAAACCACCTTGTCAACAGATTACCTAGCACAGGGCCATGGGATCCTCTCTATCCTATATGGGCTGCAGCGGGTTTTGAAGGTCGCGGCGTGCAGAGCCGGAGTGTTAGTTGCTGAAGAGGATTGAGGCCAGCCTGACCGTAACACTTGACACCTGACAGCTGCCTCTTATCTCCCCACACAGACCTGAGGAAAAACTTTGAACAGGACCCCCAGGGGAAGGAGGTGCCAATCAACGGCATGATCGTTCTGCACTGTCGCCCTCCAGAGGGAGTGCCTGTGGCGGAGGTAAGGCTGCTGCTCCTCGCCCCTCCTCTCCCAAAAGATACTCCCACTGAGCAGAGAAGATCTGTATCAGAGGGGCCGTCTTTATTTTGCCCAAGTAACTCTCCACCGATTCTACCTCAGCTCTGCTTTCTCTGACCTTTAAAAGGTTTATATACGTGTGTTGGAGACCACCGATAACTGCACCTAAACATTTAGAGAGCGTTGTTGGTTCTAAAGTGAGGTAACCAACTGAGATGAAGAGGATTCTTCGGTGGAGGTGTCTGTACTGGATTCTGTAGTTTGATCCATAAGCAGCTCCTACTGTGTGTTGGCGAAGACATAAAAGCCATGAAAGGGAATCTCATCATTGTGTCTGTTGGTTGCAACATACTGTGGATACATTGCATCATTCCATCTAATACATTGTCTACGAAAGATACCAGATATCATTTGCTAGTCTGGAGTCTTGGTTGCTTATTGAGTTCATTTACATGCACACGAGTATCCCAGTTTGTCATTTCTCGGTGTGGATCATATATGGAATGATGTGTCACGAGAAACCTCCCTGTATACATGACTCAGCTGAGAATTAAAACTGGCTGTTCAAGATTCTGATGCGTTTACCACTGGATTTAACTTCTAAATCTGATCATCGGCAGTGGAGGATAAGAGCAAAGATATAGTTCACCCTTTGTATGGTAGTGCGGAGTTTGTATTGTGAACTTTTAATTTAAATGTACTGCTATATACACAAAAGTGCAATAACATGTGGTTTGCAAACACTCAAGGTGCTTTTTACCAGCAGTTTTCCCTTTACACAGTAGCGATAAAAAAGTTTTCTTTAATGTAAACATTAAACCAAAGCTATTTGCCACTGCCAGGGCATTACTTTTTAGTCCACAGCCACGATCATAACATCATAACAAGCACTTTCTGAGCAACAGGTTAACATTTATAAATGTGTTTGATTTATTTTCTGAACAGGTTTCAGCAGAAACATTTTTCTTTTATCAGGGAGCAGCAAACAGTCTATGTTCAGTAGCAAGTGTCCCTGTCAGAGTGAGGTGAAGTGGGCGCCTCACGCACACGCCCGTCCGCTGTCAAAGTTGAGTTGTCTTGGACTTTTTGTATGTGATGCACAGAGCGCCTGCTGTTCACTCGCGGAGCGTTGTGTCCCTGTCTGAAATCACCTGAGGAGCGCGGAGCAACCCCGCGGGGTCAAGTGACTACGGAATGTTCCTAAGACCGACATCTTCCCCAATCCTAACCAGCATGCAGTGTGTAGCTATCCACTTCGCTATGGCATTTGATCACTTGTCTTGCTTTTATTTATCTACTTCTCCCACACGCTGCATCCACTGTAGTCTGCCGAAGCCTCCCTCCGCTGCTTGTTTGGGTGGGTGATTTGCAGGCTGATCAGCATCCCACCCTGCCTGTGACCCATGGTTTGACTGTATGTGTATTCAGAGCCAGTGAAACTTTTCAAAATAATAATAATAAAAACTTAACGTGCGATAAAATCATTGTCGCCTTTAATTAATTAATGTGTTAAGGCGATAATAATGCGTTAACGTGCCCAGCCCTAGTTTTTACATGTAAAATGATCTCAAATGGAAATAACAATTGAGTGCAGTTCTAATTTGCTAACCAAGCATCTCTGTTTGGAATGGAAATCAATTGAACTATCCAAAGCAGGATGAATGCACGTTCGGTAGACCCACAACATTCACACACTTCTTCAGTAAAAAACGGCTATAAGATGTTTACATGCACAAATACTCCAAAAAACCTGACCATAACTGGCATATTAATGTGAACACAGTCATCGTTAAAGAGCATAATGTTTGCATGTATCGTGGTGATCTGTATGGGACAGCTCCTATTGTATTGTTCTAACGCAATAATAGGGTTTTCCATAGTAGGGGAATAGTCACCAAGGTTATTATAGTTTTGGGTTTTTCCTTATCCAACGAAGGTTAAAGTCAAGGGCAACTGGACTTGGTTGAAGATACTGGAAGACGTTTCGTCCCTCAAAGGACTTCATCAGTTCTGACTGACTGGCAGGGAAACTCAGCTATTTAACCTCAGTGGGGTCGTTTGCCAGGGTCATCGATACTTAGTCGTTAGGACTACCGGTGGCCAAGACTGAACGACCATCGTTGGCATCTTCACCTGAGAATGCGTGTTGTTGAGTTTCCTGAGAAGAGATGAAAGGACAGCATTGTAAGTGGGGGATAAGTGGTGGCGTAGACCCCCTCCTCTGTTCAATGACGGTTTCTCAACGCGGGTGTAGATGGGCTTCCTTGACACCTCTTTCAAACCATCCATCTTCTCTGTCTAAAATGTGCACCTGGTGGTCCTCAAACGAGTGTCCTCTGTCCTTCAGATGTAAGTAGACTGCAGCGTCTTGACCTGAGGAGTTGGCCCTTCTGTGTTGAGCCATGCGTTTGTGTAGTGGTTGTTTAGTCTCCCCAATATAACCACTAAACCACTACACAAACGCATGGCTCAACACAGAGTTTAGACAGTCATTAAAGCAACCAGGAGCACTAACGAACCAGCAGTATCGATGACCCTGGCAAACGACCCCACTGAGGTTAAATAGCTGAGTTTCCCTGCCAGTCAGTCAGAACTGAAGAAGTCCTGAGGGACGAAACATCTTCCAGTATCTCCAACCAAGTCCAGTTGCCCTTGACTTTAACCTTCGTTGGATAACTATGACCTGGATGACTGAGAATCTTCATAGGTTTTTCCTTAGTTTTTATTTTTGCACCGCTGAACTGCTAGTCCGGCAACGCCAGTTCCCCTGTCTTCATATCCACTCGAAATATAGGCTTTTTTAGGTCCTATGAAATAAATAAATAAAAAAGCGAAAACTAAGGACATTTACTCTTATATTTTAGATTATTTTAGTTAATTTTGCAAACCTACAATACACTTTTAGTTAGTTATCGTTTTTTTGGAAAGCCTCGTTTTTATTTTTAAATATTTTTTCACATCTAGTTTCTGCCTTTTTGCCCGTGGAAAGCTTTTAATTTGAAGCAGCAACAGCAGGAAAGTTTCTGTTTGCATCAGCAGTACTGAACACAGATCCAATGTCTCCAAAGCGATCAGTAAAGTGAGAGTAGTTACCGTGTTGCACTTTTCATGTGGAGCAGGTCTAGACCATACTCCCATCCTCTTAAAGTAAAAACAAGAACACAGGATGAAACCAACTAAAACTTAGATGTGAATTGTTCTAATTGCTTTTGGCATTTAAATCACGCCTGGTGGCAACTTAAATGGTGGCTCCCAGTGAGACGGAGAACAGATGTTTCTCACTGTGTGATCACCCTGAGAGACTCACTTGTGGGGCAAATATAGCATTTAAATGTCTCTGTGAAAAGATGTCGCCATATGCACATTCCTAAATTTCTAAATGCTGTCTCATTCTATATTTGGCCCGGTGATAATCAGTATGAACAATGGATGAGTAATTGATGTGTGCACAGAACATTTATAAGTAGAGGTCAACCGTGTGCTATATAAATGATTCAACATAGAAATGGAGGAATGATGTGATTCCAGTGCCACAGAGTCCTCAGTGGGGATAAAAATAGTTGAATCTGAGTGGTACAGACCGAATCACAGCCTCCCATCTAGTCCTTTGTCAACACAAATGAGCCCAGCCATAAGAGGTGGGAGTGAATAATGTAGAGAAAGCGCATGGTGGATATTCTCAGCCCAGTCGATATCAGCGCACCTCGTCCATAAAATATTGAGATGGCATCCATGAGTGTGGTGGTGTAAGGTTTCAGAGTGCAGCTGCAGGATGGATGCTACTGTAGCAAACACGGCGCACTCCCAATAGAATGTGTAGGCCTGCGGTTTTGGAGTGCAGCCTAAACACTGTGCCTCTGAATGGTGTGTTTGGAAATCATCCTCGTCAGCAAGGATGTCAGGATAAGCTAATGAGTCTCCAGTCACTCACAGTGGAATCATTTTGTATCATGTGGTTACAAGAGTTTATTTAAGCAAGAGTCAGACACTTGGCAGGAATGTCTCCTTGACTCGGGAGGTCTTTATTTGCATGAGAGAAATGCCACAGTAGATATATTTCTAGCAACACTGCAGTTTGCGGCCATTCTTTCCATCCAGTTACTTGTCCCATTAGGCTGTTCTTAAGCAACATTTGAGATGTTTTTCTAGTGTTCATTTCACTTTCAGCTTTCAGTCAATTCTCAATTAATCATTGGCTCTATAGAATATCAGAACATAGTGACAATTCTCGTTATGGTTTCCGATGACCTGAGTGGATGTTTAAATGTGTTCTGTTTTTTCTATCGAACCAACCAATGCCCAGAGAGAAAAGCAGCAAATCCTTACATTTGAGAAGCTGGCCCAAGCAAATGCTAAGCACTTTCTAAGATCCTCTGCAGACATGTAAAAATAGTCTGACATGGTGTTTCCATAACAAAGTTCACTTACTTTGTTAAAGCTACATCTACTCCTTCTTCCTCATTGAAAAATCTATAAATAAGTAAATATTGTTCATTCCAAAGGGCCCTACAAGAGGCAAGATGTCTCCCACTTCATTGAAAAGTCCATTCTCAGCGTATGTGCCCTGGAGGTTTCAAATTCCCACACCACACTTGTTTAAGTTACATACTGTACCACAAAGCTTCAAACTGGTTACGATGTCACAAAATCACCTCGTATGTGCAGGTGTTAAACTGAGATTTCAAGGAGAGGCTTACAAATGTTCAAGTCTGTCAAGTCTCAAAACAACACTCAGGGGTCCATTTGAACATCTAAGCAGTAATCATTCCTCCTGTTCATACTGGCCATTAAAAGATCCTCTTTATGTGTTTTTTAGTGCACATTAAGAAGACTTCACTAGCCTGTCTTAGAAAAATCCTAAGTGAAGCTCAAACATCCAAATCAAGGAGTAATAAGCAAAACACATTTTTGAGAGTTCACTTAATCAACTTCTCATTTGCAATATGTAACACTGCAAAAATAGCCCTTTAGAATACCCACTG